CGTTACTGAGTAAACTCCCAGCAGTGACCATATACACACCTTGTATGTAACTCCCTTTCTATTTATTCCAGGGATCTAGTATTTTTCAGTTTCCTGTCTAACTCCCTATCTAGTCACTGTTTAGCAAACCTACCTTAAAAACCTCACAAGCCATTTCCTCCAGTCTCTTTATAATCCTATTTCTTATATTAATTATTTCAAAGCATGCTGACATTTTTTATCACCAAGATGCCAGGAACTATACATAATCTTTGAGATACAGGAGAACCAATTGCTAACAGACACAGGTAGGACCTTTCCAATAACCAGTCTGAAGAGGCACTGAAGGTAATACTATCTAACAGTTTAGCTGGTATAAAAGCAAGAACACTTTTATACTCTCTCCTCTATAAATGCATAAAAGTCTAACTATACATCAGTAGGAGTCATCTGATCTTTTTTCTTCAGAACAAAGAAGTACAGTACTTCGATTTTAACTAACGAAGCTTTCTGAGGGAAATGGGCACGGTAACTTATTTCATTCTCCACACAGTCAATTATATATCTTCAATTTACCTCGCACCACAATCAGGCAATAGTAGCTCTGTGCTCTCACTCTGGTCTAGCACTAGGCTTTTAAATCTCAGGAGCTCAAGTCAAAAACTTAATCTAATTTCTTCTGTGTAGATATTTTTTCTCTGAACTACAAAAGAAATGTTATACAATGACTAGTACACAGCTCACAGCACAGCTCAAAGCTGCCATCTCTAGGTATTATGTTCTACTACTCTTCACACTAAATTATTTTTCTGGTTTTTTAAGAGACTGAACATCTGAAAGGAAAACTACCAAAAGTTTATCCTGACAAGTTAATTTAAGAACTTTCTTCAAAAGGATGTACCTTTTCACTTAAAATTTCTTCAACTTACATGGTCAGCTCCTTTAGGCCCCTGTAATTTTTGACATTGCACATAATCTCTACTAAAAGCAACATATTTATTACTTGGCATGAGTGCTGCTGCCTTCACTTTTAGTGAATTCTGATTCCTAATGAACATGTATCTTTGACAAAAGCAACAGTTTCTGCTTGCAGTTTTTAATAATATTAAGAAGAGTTGCATTTCCTCGCTGAGATTCAAAAAGATGTGTGAATTAACACAGGTCTATTATATTTAATATTTGCTGTTAAAAGCATCTCTAAAATGGTTACCCTTTAGTCTGGAATATCTCAAGAAAATATTAGCACTGTCAAATAAAAAGGTTAAATGATATTTGAAGCCTTTATTCTAACTGCTAAATGATACATTACTTGAATGTTTCCCAACTGAAAGGTCCACATTCTACAAGAACTGTAATAACCAAAGATACCGGTCAGAAAGATCTGACCTTTCAAAGAACAGCTAATACATTAGTAATGAATCGAGGAACTGACGAGAAGAAAAGCAATTTTTGAGTTGGTGTTGGGGCATGAACAGAATCTAATTCATATTACTACTAAAAATCACCACTACAATATTAACCATGCCATGTACAGATTCATCATGTCTGGAAGAGCAACAGATGGCCAGAAAATCAAAACAAAACAAATCCACTCACACCCACAATTCTGCTTAACTTCAAAAGATGCACTATATAAAAGGAAGACTGATCATAAAAGAAACCAAGAAGTACAATTAAAAGGATAATATCTTAAATGGCAATATGAAGACATTTTAAGAACATCTGCTCAGATCACATGAATGCTTCTTATTTAAGAAAAAACCCCAAATTTCCCATTACAAATAAAAAAAATAAAGCTTATTTAACAGGAGAATAATGGAGACGTAGTAACAATGGAGGATAATGTTAGAAGAAAAAGTTTACTTTAAAATAAAGGTTCAAAAACTTTGTCAGATTAAAATGCAGAGACATAAAATGGCAAGCCACGAAATGGTTTAATGAGCTGCCTGCAAAATTATATGTAAAGTACTAATACATCATTTTTTCAGATGCATTAGAAATACAGCCAACTAGATAATTTATGGTGCCAGCAGTCTGAAGGAGCATCCTGATAAGATAAAGCCATAGCAATAAAATGAAGTTGGTTTTCTCATGCGAGTTCTTCATGGTAGACTTTACAGGTATTTCCGTCACAGAAATTAATAACAGAAAGTTGCAGGAAAAATAGCAAAACTGACAAAACAATCAGCAACAAGTCACCAGGATCAGTTGGGAAGGAATTTAAGAACAAAACAGCTGACCCCTCTCTGTAGTGTGTAACTCCCTCCTTAAAAATGTGTCAGTACTGAAAAGAGACTGAAAAGCAACAGGCAGAAAGAACAGAATTCAGTGAATACATAGATAAAATAGGTGGAGGAAAAGCCTAACAACTTTTGACAAGGGAAGTTATACTTTGCAAATCATTGGATTGTCCTGAAGAAATCAAAGGTCTGGTTGATACAGTTACCTGGAATTTCCAAAAGATGCTTGATAGCGTTCCTCATGTCTTAAAGGAACTAAGCTGCTCTGGGACAAGCAAGGCAGATAACACAAGGGTAAATAATTTGATAAAGAAAAGTTTGGGAAAAAAAACGCCCACCACTTAAATGAATAAAGGTCATTAGTGGTGTCCCACAGAGATCTAAATTGGAATTTGTTCACCATCCTCAAAAAAAACCTGGCAAAGAGATGAATGGAAAAATGACAAATGTTTTTTTGACAATATTATGTTACTCAAAATACCTGAGACAATAGTCAAAAACAAAGACTTGCAGAAAAATCTCATAATACTGAATGTGCAATACAAGGACAAATAAAAAGGTAAATAAAAGTTCACATAGATAAGCATGAAGTGATACATATGAATAGAAAACAATTTTAAGTCTGTACATATAGTGGTGGGTTTTGAATTGACTGGAATGAGATCCTGAGGTAATAATTGGTAGTTCTGTGAACATACCAGTTCAAAGCCAACAGCAGATTTTTAAACAGCTAAAATACTGTTTAAAAAATAATAGAAAAAAAATTATCCTGTTAATTCTATGACCTCAGTCTCTGAGGTACCAGTAAACCAAAGACTGGGATTCCAACGATCTCAGAAGGGATATAACAGAACTAGAAGCAATTCATAGAATAATAGAACGTTGCAAGTTTGAAGGGACCCACAAGGATCATCCAGTCCAACTCCTGCCCTAGCATAGTTCAATCTCAAGGTTCAGACCATGTGTCTAAGGCCACATGTTGTCCAAATGTTTATGGAATATTGTCAGGCTTGGTTCCATGACTACCTCCCTGGAGACTCGGCACCAGTGCTCCACAATCCCTGGGTGAAGAACCTTTTCCTCTGGTTCATTGGTTGGCAGAGAGAAGAGATCAGCACCTGCCCCTCCTCTTCTCTTTGTGAGAAAGGCAATGTGTTATAGAAGGTAATGGTAGAGGTAATGACGCAACATTATCTAAGGTATGAAATAGCTTTCTCCTGAAGGATATTAAAAATGCAAGGAATTTTCAGCATGAGAAAGAAATGATAGAGGATATGATGGAACTACAGAAAAGCATGAGTGGTATGGAAAAAATAAATAGAAAATAATATAAGAATTAGATATTATCAAATTGAAACCAGCAAGTACCAGTTTCCCAAAAAGGGTTATTTCTTCACAAAATACATTGGAATTCTTAGACAGAGGATGGTACCAATGCTAAAATAAATATATGGTCTGAAAATTTGGAAAAAATAAAAAATGGATTCATAATCTTTCCACAAAAATATTATCCTATTTTAGCAAATCCCAGCTGCAGACTAGGACAGTATTCTGAAGAATATTCTATACGTTCTTGACATTTTCCCTTATATTCTTCCCTAGGCATTCGCTGTTACCCATTATTCAAGACATTACGAGGCTAGATGAACACTCTGGTCTGACTTGATACAATCTTTGTTGTTCTTCCTTACTGGAGATGGTCTTAGGCAAACTGAAAATTTGGGATACAAATTCTGTATTTCTCCATCAGAGTTAACAAATTTGCCATTATCTATATAAGGCTAAATTATGCACTGCATTCACTTCTGGTCCTTTATATATTGGAGACATGACTAATACTAGCCAAAAATTAACGAACTAACAAAAGGTTTTTTTAAAAAAAAAAAAAAAAATCAAATCTGTCTCTATATTCTACCAGGACAAAGAATTTTTTTTTATTCATTTATTTTAGTGAAATAAGCCTTTAAATGTGTTTTTAATAAAGCATCATGCAAACTACATAATACCAGAAGAAGAAAAACTGGCAGTTCATACTTACTTGAACTTACAGTAAAATTCTATTATAGAATAACAGTTTGGATTTTAATATTGGTCTGGTTCTTTACCACAAATAATACGACAAATAAAAAATGTATTTCTTATTGCCACAGCCTTTAGGGCATTAAGAGGCCTTAATGGCCCTGGCCTGCCTCAGCTGGGGTTCAGCCATTGACCTTCAGTCCCTGACTGCTTGTCATCCTGCCTCCGGAATGGACTTAGACCTGAGCTGTAGGTAGCTTGTCTTCCAGAGGGACCCCTCAGGCAGGAGTTGCAGCCTTCTCTCCAGTCCTGTCTCTGGCCCTGCCTTCTTTTGCTGCTGACTGGACTCCCTGGACCTGGGTCATCACCTGGGACTGTCAAAGGACCCTGCTACCAGCACCCAGCTCTGCCTGCTGGGCTCAGCCCCTGGGGATGGTGCCTGGTCAGCAAGGGCACTGCCCACAATAGAGTCATTCTTGGCTCCTGGTACACCTTGCCTTACTGCAGTTCCACTTACATTAGGCACCTTTTATTGATGGGTTTAGCTCTGAGGGTTTATAGTCAGCTTATAAGTGACTTAGATGTATAGCCAGTTTCTGGAAAAAGATTGTGCAACAGATCTAAGTACTGTAGAAGACACTAACACAAAATGTTTACAGACTAGAAATCAAATTATCCTCAAAAATCATAGTTCATGATGAATCATTGTGAGATGACCAACAGAACAGAAAAAATTTAAATAGGATGCTAAAGAGTTCAAACCTGATATAAAGCAAGAGTGTGTCCATATCTCTGGAGTGGCCCTTTGGATATGGGTACTACGTTCCATATACTGCTTTCCAAATTGTAGCTAGAAGAGAAATAAAAAAGTAAATATTTTCTGCCTACAGAGAAATAGTGACTTTTGTACATTTGAACTAACTTCTGGTTTGGCAAAGTGTACACTTGATCACTGTTGTTTATCTGACATAGTAACTGGTTAGCAGCAGTAACATGATCACTTTTAACTGTTAAAAGTGTACTAACTAGCGAGAGTGAACTCAATGCTCAACATTGAAATAAGAAACAGCTTTTTCAGGGACCATCAACAGTCTCAGAAAATAGGATTGTAATAAAAATCACCAGACTTACACGTTACAAAACTAGGTTGCTAAACTCGCCGTTATCAGTCACACAAAAAAACACCACTAAACTGCTTATGCCACAATCTTTTGCACTGCTTTGAAAACTCATTGTTGAGCACCCTCTCAGTTGTGTAGTTAATTTCTATTTCCATTAAATTTTAATTAACAATTAATCAATTTATGGATTAAAACACAACAGGATGGAAAAAGAAGTAAAAAAAATAAGAAGACAGATAGAAAAGGAAATCACCAAAGATGATGGGATTTGTTTTGGATGACTGCAAAGGTGTGAAAGAAAACGAGAGGTAGACAAAACTAGAATAAACACACTAATAATTTAATTTACCACATTTAGGGCCTGTACATATATACAAATCACCATACAAACTATCATAAAGATGAAGAAGTGAAATACGGATGACCTGCTTAACCCTACTGGCAGGGCATCAATAGGCTAAGTACATGTACTAAGTACAAGTCTCCTACAACTATAAATTAACTTCAATAATGCAAACAGCATTCTAGATGTACTATCTGGAAAATATCAGCACATGGAATTCTTTTACTATTTTATCACTATGAACATTTTTATGTTATGCAGCCAAGTATAGCAACAGTTTTAACAAAACTGAAGAAATTACACATTATTATCACATATAGGTAGATGTAACCCATATTTTAACTTTTTTTAAATCAGAAGATTACAAGCAGAAAATAACACCATAAATTAAAAATAAAAAAAAACAAAAACAAAAAACCCAAAAACAACTAACAACATATAAAACTTCCAGTTAAATTGCAGGATACAGGCTACCTTCTTGGTAAGATATTTCCCCTAAACCACATCAGGAGGGATATGACAAAGGAGAAATCACTTACTTCAACACCATTTGGAATGAACTGTAGTTAAAAGTGTATCCACCAATCACCCACATAAATTTCCCGTGTAGGACTGCCTTATGGGAAGCCCGGCCCACAGAAGGGCTGAATGGCTTTACGTTTGGTAGAATCCAGTAAGACTCCGTGGAAGGGACGTTCAAAGAACAATCTGGACCTGTTTTGTAAACAAATGTGCAATTTGTACAATCTGTTAGACAGGAATGTTAAAGCCAATAAAGCAGAAACAGGGGAGGCTTAATTAAAGATGTCAAGATTGCTCACTCTGATAAAATATGGTATACATTTTTATGATCAACAGACACTCAATAAAAAAAAAAACCTGACATCAAGGGATGTCAATCAAATTGAAAGTGTTAGATTAGCTCAAATAATAATGATATATTTCTGCATTCTACTCAAAAAAACACACTGAGTCACACATTGAAAGAAAAGCATAATGCATCATATTTTTAGATGTTATATAGGTCTAAAATGTGAGACAGTATACAATGCATCTTACTGCTACCTCTGGAGAAAAACTATACTGCATTTAAACTAACCAGAGTAAGCTTATAACCAAGCAAATAATGTTATAGTAAATTAAGTTACAATATAGATTATACCATATTAAATCTCAGGAATCAAAATTTGGCCTTTGTCAATACTATTCTGCATTGTCTTTCAAGAGCAAAATACACTGTGAAGTGCTTTATAAAAAAATTATATTTTGACTATTTTAATTTTATGAAATTTTATAGCTCATTCTACAAAGATACCAGAACCCACAATTATATATTCTTTTGGAAAATATTTTAGCAAATTACTTTTGCTAAATAAGTATAAGTCAGCAAAATATGTCATTTTCAAGATAATATAATTATTAAAATAATGAATAGCAGAAACATTTATTTTTCATTTGTTTTGTAATAGTCAAAATGTGATCTCCTCATCATTAGTTTATGCTCTCAATGTTGGAAGAAATTTAAAATCCTGTTATTTAAAATTTGAATATATTCAGAACTTTGTTAATTTTTTTTTTTTTTTTTTTTTTTTTTTTAAAAAAGACAGGATATGCACTATCTGCCCCTTGTCAGTGACCATACAGCATTACTGACTGGCCTTATTTCTAGATGGGAAACACTGAATTTTTAGGACACCAATGTGTTCTACTTTAAGCATTATCAATCATGGAATTTAAATTTTTATAATCAATGATGGCATACAGATATTGTATAGCAGATAGATTATTTCCATAATTTGATGTTGATGCTATAAAGAACGTTATGTCCCTCTCAGCCTGCCTGACTGGGATAAATCCTTCCCTTAAACTGGACAGTACTAAAAACCAAAGCTGTGGAAGTCAGACTGGTACGTTATTTGGAAACTTGGTGATAACATTCAAAAATAAAATAAAATAAAATAAAATAAATAAACCAAACACCATCACACACAAAAGGAACCCAAACAACAAACTAATCCACATCCCAAATGTCACACAGGACATCTGGAAAACTACTGGCCTGCTACACTTCTGTTTTTACCAGACAAATCGGGAGAAACTATAAGATTGGAGAGAATTAGTCAACAGATGGATAACCGCCACCTAACTCATAAAAATCAGTATAGCTTTCATAAAGAGAAGGCCTGTCTTCCAAACTTATTAAAGATCTTTGAAGACATCAACACAGGGTGATCCAACTGACACACTTACATTGATTTTTCACAAGGCTCTTAGAAAAATTCCACACCAAAACTTTTAAGGAAACTGTTTAAGCAAGAGAAGGCTTTTGAACACCTAAATAATTGACTATAAGATATAGTAAGAAACAGTAACAAACAGTAGGCAGGAGTAAATGGCCACTTCTTAAAGGGAAGGAGGTCACCTTTCAAATCCCACAAGAGTTCAACATACACAACAATCCTGAAAGAGGATATGCAGTGAAGAAGGTTTGCTGATGAAGACAATTACTAGACAGCAGAAAGAGTAAGATCAGGTTTGAACCACCATAGAACAAATTCTTGTCTGATCACGTGACTGAGCAATACAATTACACATTAAATTGAACACAGATAAAGTTAAAACTATACAAGTGTGATAGTTTCACTGGGCAACTGCTCACCACACACTGACCAAGGCCAACCTGTTCCCAGATAACGATCCTGGAAGAGTGACAATCCCAAACCGAAACCGCAATCCCGGGAGAGCGAGAGCCCGAGTGAAAGCCAGAGAGAGCAAGAGAGGAAGAGCCCCTCACTAATATACTGATCATGATGTGACATGATATGGAATATCCCACTGGCAGAGCCAAATGCCAATTTAGCTTATTAATTTAAATATTCCTCACCCCCTTAGATCTTGTGCTTGTAGACTGACAGAACACAAAGTCCTTCACTTCCAATGACAAAAAAGCAAACATTGGAATGTTCTCAGTGTCTCTCTCATAACAAATCCCAGAAGGAAAAGCAAAATACGGCACTATTCTAACTACTGAAAAGGAAACCCATCTCTGTTTCAGGTAAAAAACAGGACATTAAGCTATGTTTTAACTTGACTAACTCATGACAGTAGTCATGTTGGGAACAGAGAACACCGCTACCTTTCTGTATAAATCAGTGGTTTGTCTACACTTAGAAAACTGTGTGCCCTGCTCAAAAGAAGATAGGGCTGGAGACTCTTTACAGAAGAGTAATAAGGATGTTCAAAGGAATTAAATAGCTTCTGTAATTGGAACTACTGAGTTGGCTAAGACTTTTTCACTTGGAAAAAAACAAAATTTGGAAGTAAATGATAAATGTCTGAAATAAGTGACACAGAGAAAGTGAATATAAAGAGTCTACAGTCTCTTTGAATATAAGAATCAAGATTCATCAAATGCAGCTTGAAGAAGCCACATTCAAAACAAACAAGAGGAAGGTAGTTCTTCATGCAAACAGTATCAGAGCTCCTTGGCAAGGAACTCTGACAAAGGATGCTCTGGATGCAAAGGTTTATAGTGAGTCAAGGATAGATTGGCCAAGAATTTAGAAGCAAGAGCTAACTAAATAAACTAAACAATTAATGTACATCAACTTCATAATTTTAAAACATACTATCCTTTGGGGGAGAGGGGAAATTATGTTTTGCCAATGTGCATTATAATTTTTTTGGGAAACTTGTTACAATTACTTCTTATACACAACGATCAAGCAAATAACCTGTACCTAACCAGTTGTCAACTTTTCCTAGTATTCTGTAGAAGAATTATGTCCACTTGTATCCAAATTACCTTCCATTCATTAAATGATGGAGATACTCAATTCCCATTCTTCATTATACCTTCTATCCAGAAAAGATTAATGGTATTTGAATGAGGTCTAATGAGAGTATGAACAATTCAGTATATTATTTCTTAAGCATTAATAATAGATACCGTAATAGAATTGCAAGTTCAGCAAGATTCTGATTTGACAAATCACTGGAGGAAACAATTTGAATCTAAAAGTGCTTAAAAATAAACAATTGATTAAGCATTCTTTGATAAGGGAAGATCTTATAATTATTAAAACAGTGCCTCCAGTCAGAAAATGAGAACGCATTTATGTTTTATTACAGCTGTCAGTCTTGCACAGAAATGTAGTGGTCAACAGTGTCCTCTGGTGGCAAATAGTGAATGAAACACACAATCTACTTGCACACCAATTGACTTGAGATTTGATTTTCTGGAGACAGGGAACAGCAAGAATTCATAGAACAAATTCAAAATACATTTAGATGACACTGACTACATTAAAATGAGGACAATAAAAAAACATTATAAGAAGTTAACAATGCAAAAATATTAACAATACTGTTAACCAGACCAGAGACTGAAAGAATGTCGCAGATAACTTTTTTACAACTTCAGTGCTTCATTGTTGGTTTACACTGAATGACAGGAAAGGTGAGACAGAAAGGAGAAACACCATGTACCCAGGTCTTGTTCTGGCATGGAGCAAGGACACATTCTAAGAAGATACACCTGAACTCAGGAGATGGAAAGCAGCAGGTTTTCTTCAAAGAACACATCAATATCCTGTGCATGACGCACACAGGCATTAAAGTGATATTAGTTAACATTGTCACCAGAAGAGGCAACCCCTGGCCTCCCCTCACTGCTTACTCTTCAGCTCTCATCGCTACTGGCACCAATTTTCACATGGCCACACCATGAACCAGACGAGGGAATGCACCCAGGTTAAAACTTGATTTTATTTTTAACCAAGCTAGTTTTTAATCTGGATGTGTTCCCTTACGTGCTTCGCCTTGCCCACATGCAGGCGGTTGTGCCAGCACAAGTAAGGCTGCGTGGCCAGGACTGCCTCTTCAGTAAAAGTGTAAAACATTCATTGAGTTACCACAGTATGTGTCAACCAGTTCAAAAATGGGATATATAGTTGAAAAAACCCAAAGCAACAGAATAATACTGACTTCTACTGAAACATCATTTAAAGAGCAAATGCTTATGTGTGGCTATTGCCTTGTAAAGGCAAAGTAAATGTAGGACTTATATCATTTACGGATTTTCCTACTTGAGTATATATATCACAAAATTATACATAATACATAAATACATTTTCTCTTCAGAAACATCACATTCACTAAATACATGTCTTTTATGAAACAGAGAGCACTACAGCTGCAGAACAAAGATAATGAAAAATATGTTCTATTATTTTCTATGCAAATATGATTTTTCTCCATTTATTTAAAATTGGATTTCTTTCTTATCTTCCTAACGTGCCACTCAATCCACTGGAGGAAAAAAAAAAAAAAAAGCAAAGCTTTAAAAACAGCAAATAACTATAAACCAGAATTGGAAGTCAATTATGTTACCCTCAAAGGTAGGAAAAAATTCTATAGGTTTAAAAAAGCGATTTACCCACACAACACAAGAGAAGGAATCTAATTTCTATTTATTGAGGAGTTTCATGAACTGCCGAAGTAACAATCTGTTCCATCAGTTCAAGTCATAAGATCAATTTCCACCTAATGAGAAAACATCATCTACTGTCTTCAACCCTAGTCTTTTCCTTTGGGATCACAGGGGGAAAAAAAAAAAAAAGTATTGATGTGTCGAATATAAATGTCACAGTCCTGACATACAATCTAGTCAAAGCATTTAAGTAAAGCATTTGTTGTTGTTTATCCTATATCTG